CAACCAACCGAACCTGAGGAGAAAAAAATTTAAATTTTTTCATTTGTAGTGCACAATTTAAATTGAACATCAGCCGTGGTTAGTAGCCAGCCATTTGGCCAACCTCAACGACAAAAAATCGCTCCGAATACAACACATAAAACACATTGCAAATACAACTCTTAAAAGATATGATTTCGGCAGTGAATGTTGCCCGGTTTGTCTGAACTTAGTTTTTAGTGTTTTTTTGTTTTATACGTTTATATAGTTGAGGCCCATTTCTTAATAATGGTCGCTCGATCGGTGGTCGGTAGTTATGTCGATCATTGTTACGTTCAATTACAATCTGCAATATGCGGTTAACAGAGTTTATTGTCTCCCTGTCTCCAGTTAGACAAGACGCACGACACACAACGCGCTACCAGCCGGCGTTGCACACATTCACACACGCACATACTTTGCGCGATATTCATAGTTTGTTTTGGACTTTGTCATTTGAGTGCAGATCATAAAACTTATATTCACATGGCTGATTTTTTTTCTGCACGACCGCATATTTTAAAATGGGTTTATATGTCTCGTTGTATTGAAATTGAGCAAGTGGTGGTGGTGACGGTGATTTTCCATCAGCTGTTCAATCTGAAAATCTGGTTATTTAATATCAGGTGTTTCCAAAAAAGAATGGTTGGTTATTGGTCAGCCAAGTTCAAGTTTAGAAATATTTTACATTAAGGGATTAATGTGAAAATTCTCAATCAACTTTATTACGAAAGGACGGAATGAATAAAATGTCCTGTTTTGAATGCTAACAAGAAAATTAATGATAAATAATAATAATAATAATAATAATAATAATAATAATAATAATAATAATAATAATAATAATAATAATAATAATAATAATAATAATAATAATAATAATGATAATAATAATAATAATAATAATAATAATAATAATAATAATAATAATAATAATAATAATAATAATAATAATAACAATAATAATAATAATAATAATGATAATAATAATAATAATAATAATAATAATAATAATAATAATAATAATAATAATAATAATAATAATAATAATAATAATAATAATAATAATAATAATAATAATAATAATAATAATAATAATAATAATAATAATAATAATAATAATAATAATAATAATAATAATAATAATAATAATAATAATAATAATAATAATAATAATAATAATAATAATAATAATAATAATAATAATAATATAATAATAATAATAATAATAATAATAATAATAATATAATAATAATAATAATAATAATAATAATAATAATAATAATAATAATAATAATAATAATAATAATAATAATAATAATAATAATAATAATAATAATAATAATAATAATAATAATAATAATAATAATAATAATAATAATAATAATAATATAATAATAATAATAATAATAATAATAATAATAATAATAATAATAGTAATAGTAATAATAATAGTAATAGTAAATAATAATAATAATAATAATAATAATAATAATAATAATAATAATAATAATAATAATAATAATAATAATAATAATAATAATAATAACAATAATAATAATAATAATAATAATAATAATAATAATAATAATAATAATAATAATAATAAATGAATAAATAAATAAAGTTTGGACAAATGTGACATTTTAAAATTTGCTAAACAGTTGTTAAAGCTTTCTTCTATTTAGATTAATTCATTGCTAAAATACTTTTAACAGCGAGAATAGTCTACGGTCTGAATTCGTCTTCTGTGTGACATTACTAAATAGGCCTTGTGTGATCATGCATTTTTCCTTTTTAACGTTCTCTAACAAAAGACAATAATACTACCTTACTCTCTGAGAAATACTTGCTGGACAATTCTTGGACAAGAAAAAAAGCTGTAAGTTCGGCCGTGTCGAACTTTGAATACGCTTCACAATTTGAAAAGAATTTCAGAATTTTCAAAAAAAAAAAATCCGTTAACAATGCTATTACAATATTAAAAATACCCAATGAAGTCGTTATATTAGGGTCTATACGATGACGGGGAGCTGCATAGGCAACAATTGGTACTACGCTGTAGCATCTATTACGAACTTCAAATGCCAAATTTGAAACAATTCCGGTGAATAATGTCGCTGAAATCATCAAAATAGCGAATATCTGGAGGCTATACTAAGGCGAGGACCTACAAAAACAATTTTCTTTCATTGGCTGTGGTATCTATTACGAACTTCAAATGCCAAATTTGAAACAATTCCGATGAATAATGTCGCTAAACTCATCAAAATACCGAATATCGGGAGGTACTGTTATATGGGGGCTTTACGAATCGTGGACTTACATGGCCCATTTCAGTATCAAAAGTCCTGCAGACATAATATGTATTTGAGCAAAATTTTATCAGTCTACTTCATTTTGTTCGGAAGCTAGAGTAATTTCCACACACGGACATATGGATAGACGGACGGACATCGCTAAATCGATATAGAATTTTATATATACCCTCCATACTATGGTGAAGAGTATAAAAATAATCACACAGACCCAATATTGGAAAAATCCAGGAGGGAAATAACAGGTATAGCCCAAGAGCAAAGGTGGTTATTTACATAAAAAATACAAGATTTCATCCCACTTTCCACAAAACCACGGTCAATTCTGTGACTTCTATAGCAATTTTAAATTTCAAGATAATTATTGCCAAAATAACATAGGTCGGTCTCAGAATTTGCTTTTAAAATTTTTCGGTACAAATTTAGGTATTTTAATAATTAATACATCAACCTTGTGGCCCAGTCTTTTACAAACGTTGGGCAAGTGGCTGATATAGGCTCAGTGTATATCTAGAAAATAGGCCGAAGTATGCCCTATAGGCGATCTAAATCAAATCACAATCAGCTCAGACCAGGATTGTTTTAATTTTCGCGGCGATGTTAAAGTGTAGCATTCCTCGTTTTATGTGTTGCAATTGATATTTTAGTGGAATCAGCATTCAGGACCCAGTTTTCAATTTAAAACCAATAACATTTAACTTCCATCGAATATTGGGCGTCATTATTTGATATACACATTTTGCAAATTGAAGCTCCTTTTTGAAAAAGGGTTAAACCATGGTAGAATTACAAGGTAACCCTTTCACGCCAGCTGGTATCAATTTGATATGTCAAAAAAATTGTTGTAATTTGAATTCGCCATAGAGAAACATTACCAAAATTCACACTTCAAACAGTAACAATAAATAAACTTAGAATACTCTCAGCCAAATGACTACATCGGATATATACCTTTTGATACGGTCAAAATGTGCCTCATCGAAATAAAGGTTTTTGACTCTAGATCTTTTGGATGAGTCGGTTGGGCGACGTCCGTCAGACCGTCTATTTGTATTTTCATTATTTAAGGCCACATTTGAAGATATAGAAGTTACAAAAGATGGAGTTTCAGAGCTTTCATGTGGTAATTGCTTTAAAACTGGAAGCATAATTTTGAAAATTCCCGTGAAATAATTTAGCGCAAATGATTCTGCATATTTTCAAAGGCGAACGTAGCATTTTTATAAAATCCAATTTGAAATAGAAACAAAGAGTGTAATATTCTGCATTTTTATGATGCCAATGTTCAGATTGTTTATTTAACTAATCTTAAATTAAAGACATATGGACGGTCAGAGATTTTTTATATCATAAAATTCTTCCGACTTGAATTCTTAAAGACATTAAATAAACAATTCGATTCATTTGAAAAACAATAATTTTGAGAAATTAATGATTACTCTCATGAAATAGTTCTTTAAAATTCAACAATGTCGGACTCGGAAATATTCTTTAGAATCTACGATTTAACGCCGGAAGATTTTTTTTAAGATTCATGATATGTGGCTCGGACATTTTCTTTAAATCCCTGAAACTATTTCAAAATCCACAATTTAAGAACTGCAAATATTTAAAAATCCAGGCTATGATATTGTGAAGAACTCTAGATTCTTTTAAATTTCTCGAGTTGGGTCTTGAAAATATCCGCTATTGTTCACATCGCACAAAAAGTTCATACAAATCCACAATCCACATTTTTGATGGGTTGATGATTTCTTGCCTTATTTTGAGTTCTCCGAATTCTTTTTGAATTTGTTCCAACTGAGGTTATCATTCCACGCGGTATTCACCCCAATATTTATATACCATTTGCTTTTATCGAGTTCTCTTATATCGAGGGCCGGCCTAAACTGTACGAGTCACAGCAACATAACATTTCCCTGCAAAATTTAATAGAAATTGAAAAATAAACCAAAATTTTCAATGTTTCAAAATTAAATGTTCTGATTGGTGCAGAACAATTTGCCTCAAATTTTATATGTCAAGTAAATTCGCCTAGCTTACAATTTTGACATATCAAGTTCGAACAAAAGTTGCTTTGTTGTAATTTTCGCCTATGTTGCTACCTGGTATTTCTACCATGGGTTAAACTGAATATCTTCTTTATAATTTTAATAAAGAAGATATTCATATTTCAATTTAGTATTTTCGCAATTTAATCTAACCACATTTCTCAGGTCCAAGTTTTCAATGCAAAACTAATGACATTTAACTTTAATCGAATATTTAACTATTGGGCGGCATTATTTGATTGATATTTTTAAACACACCGAAGAGAACTTTTTTAAAGTTCCACCGACTGGAGACCAAAGCGCATCTTATTTTGTATTTTCGAACTGTTAACTTCGTATTTTGGCCATTCAATCTTAAAAAATTTCTCAGGTCCCAGTTTTCAATGCAAAACGAATGACAATTAACTATTATAAAATATTAAACTATTGGGCGCCATTATTGGATTGATATGTTTTAGCACACTGAAGAGTCCCTATTTTGAAGTACCACTGAATTGAATATCTTCTTTACATCGGCTGAGGACCAAAGCGCATTAAATTTTGCATTTTCGAACTGTTAATTTAGTATTTTGGAAATTTAATCTAACCCAACTTTTCTCCCTTTTTCTTACAGCAATACTACAACGTTCTACTGTGGATGTGGGGCGTATTAAAGTTCAAGGCGTTGCCACTTGCCTGTATTTATGCATGGATCCATGCGGTGCTGTGTATGGCTCGGTAAGTACACAGTGTCTTTATTTAAATATATATACATAAATATGTATAAAATTAAATCCCATAATTTAGATAGAATTAATTTGATTTGGTTCAAAACTAATTTTAACCAATAAAAATAACTGTAGATTTTGATTTAATTTGTTTTATATCTCAAAAAAAAAAAACAATGTTCACATAATTCCCTTTGATGTTAAAAAGCCACATCAGATGCACCGAATATTCCCACTCATATTGCATATTGGAAAAAAAAGATCTCGAAACAGAAATAAACTGTCATCTTCATTAGCCTTTTAAAATTCCTATTGTCAATCAAATGCATCCAAAAACCTATTAAAGCTAAGATCTTTGAATATTTCTTTAAAAAAAGAAAAACAACACACATTTGTTAGAGATTAACCATACAACTTAATTAAAAAACAATTGCCCGGATGAGGAAAACGAGGTCGAAATCTTATCGCGACCACCAAAAAATTGTTTTGTTTTGAATTTTTTTGGGAAGAGAGCAAACAAATTGAAACACGTTAGATAACACGCTGAACAAATGAAGGCTAACGCCGTGTGGCGCCACTGGGCCACTTTGTTGCATCCATCGGCAGGCAGGCAGGCAGATACAATACAATAAAATTCTTATTAATTTAGGAACAGGTCTTAATCAGAATATGATTGTCGTCGTCAATTGTGTGTGTATTTTGGGCTTGGGAAAGGTTATGAATAACCAGGCAGGCCTTTAAAAGCTATGACCACAAAATGGACAAATATTTTCATAATGCATTTAGGGACTCCGGCTCTCCACAGAGACACGTCACACCACAATTGGTTTGAAATAATTTTGACGCCTGTCTGGTCTTTGTTTTCAAAATATGTATGTACCACACCATTCAAAGGTTAAGCGTTTAAGCAAAAGCCCTATCACCTTGACAGGATAATGGCGATAGTGATGGTGGCATGGGTTCTACTATTGAATTAGTTTGTGTTCCTATCGACCAGAACTAAATGAGTGAATGACGGCCATGGTGGTATAACATTAATTATGTATTCTTATTTTCAATGGTAATTGCTGAGATTGTTCCAAATATTTATGTATGTATGGTTGTAGGTTGTGCAACGTTGTGTGAGGTATTGGAAAGGCATCACCCGACAAGAGAAAGGGTAAAGATAAACCATGGGCGGTCTATTGTGGCCATTTATGTGGTTCTCAGAATATCCCTCATAATAGCGCTGTGACACATGTTGAAAATTTATGAAGACCTTGCAGCGGCTTTTAGTTCAATATTAATTAACAACACACAACAAAATCAATGGAAAGCAATAAAACCCTTATCGTTTAAAAACAGAAAACATTAAGGTTTACACAGTCCCACTTGAAGATGAAGAATATTAATTGGCGCCTTTTTTGGCATTTTTTCAATTTCGTTGTGTGCCAATATTTGGGGGGAATCATAACAAGTGTTTCTCAAGTTACTCTCTCTCTCTCGCTCATAACGTGAAACAATTTTTGTCAATGTAAAGTAATCGTAACAAGGGGTTTTCTATAGAGCGGCAACACAAGGGACACTTAACACTTAGGTTGCTCTCTTTCTCTCTCTCTCTCACTCACAACAGGAGACAATTTTTGTCAATGTAAAGTATTTGTTTTTCCTAAAACACAATGCGGCGGCGGCGTCTAACCCCCCTTGCTCGGCATGCAATTGACATGGGTAAGGGTAAAACGGCCTTTGAATCCAAGCCGACATCAATGGCATTACTTATCATCACTCTGCAATTTCTAGCCACTCCAAAAACAAAAGGGAAATCTTTCACAAGGACACCATTTGTAGCAAACAGCGAAACCATTGATTTTTGTAATGGTCATTTGGGTTTCAAGGATACTTTAGTTAGTGTGTGTAATTATTGTTTAACAAATACACCACTTAAGGGTGGTTATACCTCGCGTGTAAAATGATCATATTTTCACTTGAAAATGGACAATTTATTGCCCAAAAATGTCTTTTGTTCCATTGCCTTTCACTTTTGTTTTGGGATGTCGTTTGGTATGACTTTTTGGATTACCTAAAAAAATTGTTTCTTTTTTTGGAATAGATACTAAGTTAACCTCAATCACTGTTTATGAACAAAAGAATATTTTATATATTTATTATGTTATTTATAAGCCATTTAATATTATTTAGGATTTAGTGCGGCGGTAAAATATGATCACTTATTTATGTTGCGGTTTTTTTTAACAAATGAGTCTTTTTCACACCATTTTTATTGAAAATTGCAGCTGCCGAGTATTTTTTTTTTTTTTGGATAACAATGGTCTATATTTTATTCATTGTGGAATCAGGGTTACACAGGCTAATCTTGTGCTGCTTTGGGATGTAGAGTTGTTAAATATGTGGTTAATTCAAATTAATTAGCGTTAGCTTTTTCAATTCAAAAATAATACTCAGTAAAGGCTCTATCAGACGATATGGTTTTTTGCATAAACAAGGTGAAGTAAAAAAACTGCAACAAAGTCAAACGCCATAATTTTTACATATTTTTTTTTTTTCTTTGTAAATTTTATTGAATGAAAGCAAAAATGTCGGAAATAGCATCAAATTTTAGAATTAGTTTAGTTTTGTTCGAATTGTTCGCCTTTGGCACGAAATATGGCCTTCAAACGGCCAATGAAACCGCCACACGCTGCCTGAATGTTGCTCTGCGGTATTTTGGCCTATTCCCGGCGGAGCGCTTACTTGAGGTGATCGACACTTTGGTATTTTTTAGTGTCAACTTTGCTCTCTAAAATACTCCGGACACAATAGTCCAACGGATTGGTATCCGAAGATTTTGGTGGCCATTGTGCTCAGGAAATGAAGCGGGGGTCTATTTCTAGTCTATTTTCTTTTTGTTGCGGTGTAAATTCTTGCACTTTTTGCAATTTCAATTAATTTACTCCGAGCTCATTTTTACTTTTTAGAGTTTTTTTTACAAAAGAAAAAAAACTTCTTACTCTATCAGAAAGAAGCTGTTGTACAATTCTCGTCTATAAAATGCTTGCAGCATTACTTCGTAGGTGACTTCTTCAGAGGTGAAGTCTCTGATTTTAACGAGGCCTTTATCATGTATTTCCATGTTCTTTCCTGATATTATCTATTAACAGCATTACGTGAATCTCTACCTCCTTCTGCTCTATTTCTGTCACTATATCCTTTATGCATGTGTGTGATCCTCTCAAATGGTAGCCATTTATCCTTCATAAAAAAAAAACAAAATCTAATCCGACTCATTATCATAGAATCTTTTCATATCTAAGACGCCATCGTGTAACAAAACAATTGAGCGAACGAAAACAGCATGATCGAGGTAACATCGATGATGTCAAAATAGGTGTGAGCAGCCAATAAACTACTATTTATGTGACATTTGTGACAGGTGTACACAGGGCAGTGAGAGATCGACGTAAACAATGAGAGCGGCAAAACTGCCATTGTAGAAAGAAATGCCCATGTCAATTGTTGCACAAGCAGCAGTCGTGTTAAAAGAGATTTTCTGTTAAGATAATATGCCGTCAGCTTGAGAGACATGAAAGCAAATCGCCGCTCCACAATAGACATGGTACAATAAAATGAGTGAAGTGTTTTTCTGATTTTTATAATGTTATGCGGGGTTTACAAAAGACAGGATAGTAGGGTTCATGTTTTAATTGTCAAAATACCTGAAAGTTGTCTATGTGACGTAAGCGTCCCGAAAAGTGCAAAAACAATAATGAAATCGTCGATTATGTGCAATTATACCCTCGGCCATATGGCTACAGAGGGTTTATATCATTTGATACGACCAAAACGTGTCTCATCTAAATAACGGTTTTAGACCCTATTTCTCTTTTAGGTTAAATCCGTTTCAGGATATTTGGAGTCGATCTACCGATGTTCGCCCGCCTGTCTGTCTGGCTTACTGTTGCGCAAGCAGTATCCGATTTGGTCCAAACTTGGTACATCGTAATATTATTATCAAACTTAGATCGACTTCGGAGATGGGCAATATCGGCTCACTCCTTCTGGTACCTCCCCTACAAAAGGTTCGACATTTTCAAAGAAAATATTTTACTGCACAGAATGAGGAAGGATATTCTGATTATGCTCCAACTTTGCAAATCCTAACATTTGCATCAGTGCTACGTCAGGTGCAAAAATGGACAGTATAGGTTCCACTCCTTGTGGTACCTCCCCCACAGAGGATAAAGGTTTTTAATATCCATAAACTCTTTTAAAATGTCATATAAGCGTCCGATTATTTCCAAATTACACACATCACAATATTTTTATTAACCCAAGACCTGGTGTTAAGATCGAATATATCGGTCCACTCCTTCTTGTACCTCTCTCACAATGGGTCAAAATTTTGAATATCCATGAAGCTCATAAAATGCGAAATTAATATCCGATTCCATTCAGAATTGACATATCTAAATATTTCTATCAACACAAGATCTGTTATAAAGATGATAGAGATCGGACCATTGCTTCTGGTATCTCCCCCTACAAAGGGTCAAATTTTTGAATAACCAAAACGATTATAAAATACGAAATAAGCATCCGGTTCTCTTCATATTTCACAAATCTCATTATTTGTTCTAGCACAAGATCTGCTGTGAAGATGGAATATATCGGTCCACTCCCTGTGGTACCTCCCCCATAAAAGGGTCAAAATTTGGAATATCCATGAAGCACATAAAACGCAAAATTAACATCTGATCCCATTCCGACTTGGTACATCTTATCTGTAGGTAGATGGTATGGATCGAACCATTCCTTCTGGTACCTCCACCACAAAGGATCAAAATTTTGAATAACCAAGAGATTATAAAATCTGGAAAAAGGATCCGGTTCTCTTCAAATTTCACACATCTCATTACTTCTACTAAAGATGGTAGAGATTGGACCATTTCTTCTGGTACCTCTCCCACATAGGGTTCCAGATTTTGAAAAAAGTCTCAAAGAAAGAAAGAAACTTTCTTCAAATTTCACACATAC